GCGTGCCGCACGCACGTCACCCAGAAGTAGAGTTTTCCCTCGGATGACCATGGCCCCGCCCTCAGCGTGCCCGGCATCCTCACATCACTTCCGGGTGACGCACACGTCGGGGTGGGGTTCCCCCCTGGGGGGACTTGGCAAGCCTATTAAGGGGAGAGACAAGACATTATACAAAGCACTGAAATGCAACCCCTAGGAATCTTGCAGTATGATCCTAAGCAGAGTTACACCTTTCCAAGTCCACTAAAGTCAATGGGGCTTTGAAGGATGCAATCCTGTTTAGGATGGTAGTGTTATTCATCTTTCCTAGAGATGATAAACATGAGCCTGCAGTGCGATGTGACTGCGAAGAAAGCTAATGCATTAACAGAAGCACTGTGTCCAGATCACGGGAGGTGGTAGTCCCACTCTATTCTGCTATGGTCAGGCGTCACCCGGAGTACTGTGTCCAGTTCTGGGCACCACATTTTAGGAAAGATATTGACAACCTCGAGCGTGCACAGAAGAGAGCAAACAGGATGGTGAGAGGGTTGGAATCCGTCTTACGAGGAAAGGCTGAAAGAGTTGGATATGTTTAGCCTGGGAAAGAGAAGGCTTAGAGGGGACATGATTGCAGTCTTCAAATATTTGAAGGGCCTAATGTAGAAGATGGAGCGGATCTATTCTCTCTTGCTCCGGATTGCAAGACTAGATCTAATGGATGGAAATTACAGGGGAATCGATACCGGCTAAATATCAGGAGAAACTTCCTAACTGTAAGAGTGGTTGAGCAGTGGAACAGAATGCCTCGGGAGGTGGTGGATGCTCCTTCGCTGGACGTTTTCAAGCGGAGGCGACGGCCATCTTTCGGGTATGTTGTAGGGCTATCTTTAGCCTATGCTCCTGCAGAGTGCATGGGGTTGGACTAGATGACCTGCAAGGTCCCTTCCAACTCTAACATTCTATGATTCTGTGCTTCCCTCTCTTTTGCACTTGGGCCTTGCATAGAAGCCTCTTTTCCTTAACCACAGTGAATCATTGGCTGCAAATCATGATGCAAAATAATGGTTCAAAGTGAGAAGGTAAGATTATATCTGCATCGAATGAATCACTATTAAAGCTACTCCCCAGCCTCTTTACTTATGAAGTGACACAAGTCTTGCCAGTGCCTTACAGTACCCAGGGCTGTCAATGGGGGGGACTGGCGGTACAAAATTTCCAGGGCCCAAGTCAGTTTGGGGGCCCTGTGAAGCTGGAATCATCCTGATTTGTGCCAAATGCATTTATTTTATTTTCAATGCACTTCTGAAGAGTGGCCATTAGGGGTACAGGCAAGACTGAGCAGAGCTAACAGACAGAAGATGTGACTTCTTGCCTGTTGCTGGTTTGCCTCCCTTTTTTAGCAGTGGTTTTTAAATAAAGATGTCCATGGCTGCAAACATTTTAAACTGTGAGGCTCAGGAAAACCAGCTGTTTCTAAGCTTAGCCAACCTGGTATGCCTTCATTTCTCCCAACTACCATCTAATTCTTCTGTGTTTGTTCCCCCAACCCACCTTTTCATCCTGATTCCTTCTCGTCTCTACCTTGGCTAGGGAGTTAATAGAACAGAAAACCCCTGATCAGGGGCCTGGAGACCAAGCCCTACAAGGAAAGGCTGAAGGACTTGGGAATGTTTAGTCTGGAGAAGAGGAGGTTGAGGGGGGACATGATCGCTCTCTTGAAGTATTTGAAGGACTGTCACTTAGAGGAGGGCATCAGAGGACAGGACTCGCAATACTGGCTTTAAATTAAGGGCGGGAAGGTACTGGCTGGTTCTTAGGGAAAAGTGTTTTACAGTCAGAGTTGTTCAGCAGTGGAATCAGCTGCCTAGGGAGGTGGTGAGCTCCCCCTCACTGGCAGTCTCCAAGCAGCGGCTGGACAAAGACTTGTCAGGGATGCTCTAGGCTGATCCTCCATTGAGCAGGGGGCTGGACCAGATGGCCTGTACGGCCCCATCCAACTGTGTGATTCTGTGATTCTAAGTCACCTGGGAATAAGCCCCATTGAATTAAGTGAGACACTAGTCTCCCTCAAAAAGTCCTGAACTGCAAAAATTATTTAAAAGTATATCTACTAATCTGGGGGAAAAGCATGTAATCTCCAGAGTGGTCTGATCCACGCAGAGAAAGCAGTGGGATCACTAAATAATATGTTAAAAAGTAAAGGTAAAGGTTCCCTTGCTCGAAAGCCAGTTGAATCCGACTCTAGGGTTGCGGTGCTCATCTCCGTTTCAAAGCCGAAGAGCCAGCGCTGTCCGAAGACGTTTCCGTGGTCATGTGGCCGGCATGACTAAACACCAAGGCGCACGGAACGCTGTTACCTTCCCACCGAAGCGGTACCTATTTATCTACTTGCAATTTCTTGCTTTCGAACTGCTAGGTTGGCAGGAGCTGGAACTAGAGACAGGAGCTCACTCCGTCATGCGGCACCCGGGTCTCGAACTGCTGAACTACTGACCTTCCACAGCCTGCAGTTCAGCGTCTTAACCACTTGAGCCACCGCAGCTCCATAATATGTTAAAACCCCTCTGTAAAAATGAGGATGGGGTAACTTCCCCCTCCACCACGCCATCTCCTCCACCGGCACCAACAACCCTGCGAGGTGGTCCAGGCTGAGGGACTGGCCTCGAGTGACCCAGATGACAGAGTCCTGGCTTTTGGGGGGGGGGGGCTGAACCTGGCTCTTGCCTTACCCATCATAAACACTGAATATGTAACATGTGGATTTGCATCTGAGACACTGAAAACATCCTCTGTAATCAGGAGAAACAAGTACGAAATCAACATGAGCTACGGCCTTCTAACATGGTACCTGCTAAAACTCAATTTCAAAGCATACCTGGTGTAGCCACAAATTGCGTATTCTTGAGCAAGCAAGCCCACTGTAGTAAAAAGATGGACTTTGGAAAGAATGTTCAGTACTCTTTGTCTATGACCATCCAAATCTTGTGCCTCAACGAAGCATTTAAAAACGCAACCTTATTAAACACAATTTATTTTAATAAACACTTGTGGGTATCAAACTTGAAAAGCTGGGGATTAGAAGATCTCCTCTTTGGTACTAAACAGAATTTAGTTTAGCGCTGTGTGCAACTTAGTGGATTTCAGTTAACATGCATTTTTAAAACAAGTCCGTCTGACTTTCTGCTTTACTTTGAAAGAGCCACAGAGCTAGGCACAGAGGAAAACACCATAAAACACTTCAGGACCCTTTATATATTACGGAAAGGAATGCGTGTGAGATGAAGATGACTTCAAAAGTACACCCAAGGATTTCTTTTAAGCTATATGGAAGGCACGATAAGCTATAAGGACGGAGGACGTGGCTCCCAGATCCCCCCACCCCACCAGTTCTCATCCCTCCCGCACTTCCCACAGAAGTGGGGCTGAGGGGACGGCCTGATGCAGAGGCTGTTTCTGAGGCCTCCAAGGGGTGCTTTTTGTCTGCCTGCAATCCATTTTCCTTCATGGGCTGAGAACAGGCATGGGGGAGAAGGGAGGCCGCTGCCCCTCACCCTCCCTGACACCCACTCTGCCTCCCGGCTCTGCAGCTGTTCACACATGCAGCGGCGGCAGCGGCGGCACCCCTTTCCCCCTTCACTCCTCCACTCACTTCTGAGGCCAGAATGTCTTTCCCCTCAGAGCGGCATGTAGAAGACGGCCCAGTTGCCTCCCAATCGGTGTGCTGGCCCTCCTCCTCCTCCTCTCTGCCCTGCCAGCCCCTTTCCCTTCGTTGACAAACCACCGTTCCGCTCCCCCAGTCTCATCAACCCCCCCCCCATGGTCGTCGTTTGGTGTGGTGGTGCCAGTGCTGGCCAGTTTGGTGCAGTTTGGTGTAGAGGTTAAGTGTGCAGACTCTAATCTGGGAGAACCGGGTTTGATTCCCGACTCCTCCACTTGCAGCTGCTGGATGACCTTGGGCAAGCCATAGTTCTGTCAGAGCTGTTCTCTCAAGGACAGTTTCTGTCAGAGCTCTCTCAGCCTCGCCTACCTCACAGGGTGTCTGTTGTGGGGAGGGGAAGGGAAAGGAGTTTGTAAGCCGCTCTGAGACTCCGAGTGAAGGGTAGTGCACAAATCCAATCTCTTCTTCTTCTCTCAGCTCCGCCTCCCCATGTAGTGGGTTTGCCAATGCTCGTATGTTCGACACCTCTGGTGTAAATCGTCAGTAAATCATAAGTAAAATCTATTCTTCAATAATCCTGTCCATTTCCCTTTAATGGCTCCTATCCTATGGACAACTATTCTATTCTATTCTATTCTATTCTATTCTATTCTATTCTATTCTATTCTATTCTATTCTATTCTATTCTATTCTATTCTATTCTATTCTATTCTATTCTATTCTATTCTATTCTATTCTATTCTATTCTATTCTATTCTATTCTATTCTATTCTATTCTATTCTATTCTATTCTATTCTATTCTATTCTATGTTATTCCATTCCATTCCATTCACAGTAACAGAAAGCCAAGTGATTTATTTTGTTATGATATTTGTCTGGATCAGGGTGATGGGTGAGCAAATACAATTTTTGTCCGGGGGTCCATGGTGGTTCTTGGTGGCCCTGATGGTACCACATGAGGCAAGGCTTTGTTCAACAAATCAAATAAACCTTCATTGTATACTTGGGCTTCTAGCCACGATCCAGGCAGCAAACCACAGTTAGTGGTAACCAGTGTTCCCTCTAAGCTGAGTTAGTGTGAGCTCAGTTTCTTAGCCTCTAGCTCACACATTTTTGTCTTTGCTCAGGAAGGATGGCTCCAGAGCTAACTAATTTATGCAGTAGCCAAATTACTCGCTCACAACTTCAATGCCAGTCGCTCACAAAGTAGAATTTTTGCTCACAGGACTCCACAGCTTAGAGGGAGCATTGGTGGTAACCATGGTTTGGCATTAGGATGTCTCCAGAAGTCCTTTAGAAGTCCTCTTTTAAGAGGCCCTCCTGCCGAGAAGTAGCACCATCTTAACAAACATTACTTACTCTTGCCGTAAAGTCCACAGCAGCACCACGATTTAAAAGCAGCGTAGCCACATTAATGTTTCCATAGTGGGCAGCTATGTGGAGGGGGGTGAAGCCGCTCTGAAAGAAAAGAAACAAGCGTGCGCACAGACAACAAAATATAAATTATTTTTAAAAATATCTTCCAGCTCCCAATATACTAATCTAAAAGCACAAATTGAGGCTGGGAAGCAGAATATAATCCAGAGCAATAATCCATTCTATTCTACTTTTTCAGTCACTGCATATCTGTACGACACCTGAAGACTGCAAATAAGAATATTCTAAACAGAAAGGATAATAATAATAATAATAATAATAATAATAATAATAATAATAAAGTGAAAATGTTACCAGTTCTTTAATTTGATACATCAATTTCTCATTGGAAATGTCTACTTAATGATTGGTATTTTATTATCCTTGCAAGTTAAGTATGTCTTAGAGCTTCCTTGCAGGAGTTCAGATGAAGTCACTCAATACTAATTGCTGGAGAATTTCATAAATTCAAATCAGATGCAAATTAAAATGACATCAAAGTCCATTTTACATGTGATGGGTTCTTTAAAAAAATAGGTTTCCTTCTACGAAAGATAAAAAGCTCGATCTCCCACATTGGGCTAACGTCGCAACACGCCAACTCTAAGCAGAAAGTGTCTCTACCCAATCATGTCATTCCAGTGTCTCCCAGCAGTGCAGTCCAAAGTAGAGTTGCAACGCTCGAAGCCCATCGGCGTAATTGGCCTTGGAACGGCGTAACTCCGCTTACGACTGCGCTGCTGTTTTCACACTTAAGCCATTTTAGTTCCTCGCTTGGAAAATGCTCAAAAAAAAATCATGCAGCAACTCAACCAGTCCCTGTGATGTGTGAAACCTGAAAGGGAACTGGACACATTTCTAAAGTCCTCAGCAAGCCCCTTTAGCCATGCTAGCTGTCACCGCTCCAGTCTGGAGAGCGTTCACACATTCATGTGTTGCTTGGAGGGGGGGAAAAAACCAACAAAAAAACAACCACATTCCCTTTGCTGACACTGACCGGAAAGTGTCATGCAGGAGCCTACAGGAAACAAGTCCTGGATGCAGAAGTGAGTCAGGGATGTCTGCAGCTCTTCACACAGCTGATAAAACGAGGATTACCCGCATTGGAAGCCCGGGCGCTTTCCTCTTAGGCAACTTTTCTGCGGACACAATCCGTTTCCCAAAGGAAGCTTACTTGCACACTTTTTTGAGAGCACCTGTTCCAGCTGCAGAAAGCCCTGGGAACTAAAACTACGTTCTCCTCTAGCACATGCTACGTTCTGGACTCTAAAGCAGGTCTCTAAAAAGCCTCTAGAAAAAGGCAATGCAGAGAAGAAAGGAACGATGCAGCGGCTCTACGTTTGTGGAAGAGTGACGATGCATGTGTATATATATGTACATATATATAATATAATATATATTTTTAGATATACCTCGGTTGTCCTATTCACCATCATCTAGGGGTTACACATTTGGAAGCAAAGAAGGGGGGAAAAATGAGTGGTTAGTTCTCGACCGGTGATAATGGGCGCAGAAAGCTTTGTGACCGCCGGACGGAAGCTACGGGGACGGCACAAATAGAGGCCCAGGAGGCATGGGAGGCGGAATGGAGGCCCAATGGCAGGCTGGGGGGGTGGCTTTTTACTGTTGCTGTTCAAACATGAACTGGGACACGTCAGAAATGAGATATCCTCATTTCCCCCATGGGCAAATAAAACCAGTTCCAAGAAATCCTTTATTTCATTGCAGCCTTCAACTCTATGCCTACCTTTTGGGAGGTAAAATCAAACATGTCGGCTGCATCTGTGCTACAGAGATCACAGGCATGTACGTCTATATCTCTATCTACATCTATCTATGTATCTATCTACCTATATTAAAAATATCAGTTTCTGTGTTACAGCTGTTACATTCTACCACGAACAAGGCACGGAACCCAAGAGAACACTGGTCTGTCATTGCAGATGTTGGCATGTAGCCGACTGCAGGCCAGTGGAAGTTCTTTCAGCCTTCCTCCAATTTAAGTGGCTCTTCAGTAGCCTAAGGAAGTTCTTCTGTAGGCTGGAGGAAGTCTTCCAGAGTGGTAAGAGACATGCCAACAGCATAGTCTACCCACTTAGTTTCTCCAACAAAACAGCATTTCTGCTTTCACAAGAGGGGTTTGAGATTTCCACTGATTGCTCCCTCACCACTGCAGGCCCTGTGTTTTGCTCTCTATACTTTTCTCGAAGGTCTGCTAATTACCACCAAAACAATTTTTTGGGGGTGGGGGGAGGGAATCAGTAGGCTGCAGCAGAAGAAGGAAGCGGGGAAGTGTGGATTTGTTCCAAAAAGAGAATAACTTGCAGTTCCTCCCCCCCCGCCTTTCCAGCTGCTGTCATTCTTTTCACAAGTTATAACCCTAAAACAGATCTGCACAACTGGTAACTCACTGAACTGAATGCAGCCTCCCTTCCCTTGCCCTCTATGGCAGTCCTTCACAGGCATGATGAGGAACCTCTAAGTTTCGCAGCCTTCCTGCAACCGGAAAACTAAGGGAGGGGAGACTGTCAAATGCCTGGGACTGCAATCCATAACTGGTGGGCTAATCTTGGCTTGGTGGCTCCTGAAGGACACGGGCTGACCTGAAAACAATGCTAAAATAAAACCGTAGCAGTGCAACCTGAAACAGACCCAGCTTGTCTTATGTAAACCACTCCACTTGCTAGCAAAGAGCAGCAGAGACCTTAGATCTGTCTCCCAGCTAGTTTATTTTTCCCCCGCAACTAACCTTGGACTCCACATCTGCATTATGGTCGTTCTGCAGCAGCAGGGCGGCTGCCTTTGTGTCATCCTTGCGTGCAGCAATGTGAAGAGCAGGAAGACGGACTTTCCCCTTGGTGTCATTTTCAAGCAACAAGGAAACCACCTGGTCGTGGCCCTGCTGTAGGGCTACTGCCAACGGGGTGAAGCCATCCTATCAAACAAGCAACAATCAGCAGATGTTGATCCAGAGGTTGATCCAAGGGGGGCATCGTTTTCACGCCATGCGGACAGGGCTGTATGCACGTCAACCGTAATCCACAGGAGTTCGGGAAAAGCAGAGACATTCACTCACTGAAAATCTCACCTGGCTGCAAAGGCATGCTTCAAACTGTGCGGCGAATGCCTGACACAATTAAGCTGCACGACTCCATTCTAGCTGGCGAGGGAGAAGAGTCAGTCATGGAATGTTGGCAATCAGAGCGACTCTGGATATTCATAGTTTGCTTCCCCATGAGGGCGATTCCCCATTGTGCTCCCACAGCAGCAAAGGAAGCATCAGGATCATGGGGTGACTCTCTGTGGTATGCCCTCATGCCCACCGCCACACACCCCGACTGGTGGGCTTCTTGCCGACATTTAAAAAAATGGTAGTAAATGTCCTAGATATCGCTATGGGACCATGCTGCCATAGCAATGTATCTGCCATTATCTTTTTTTTAAAAAAAGCTGGAAAAAGCCTGTCAGTGGAGGTGGGCAGAACAGCAGGAGTCAGGGGGTGGTAGGAAAAGAGTGCTAGATAAAGGCAGGGAGCGTCTGAAAATCCACACCTTCTGGCCCACACAGCGACCCAAACCACTTTGAGCACAGTCTTTCAGGAGAGATCGTACCAAAGCAGGGGGTTTTTTTGGGGGGGGAGACCCAAGCAAAGCAGGGAACAGTATGTTGTAGATGGCTTTCACAGCTGGAGTCCATTAGTAGTTGTAGATTTTCCGGGCTGTATGAACTTTCTGTGTTATACCTCTGCAGGGCTATTTTTGGGCAGGAACTCATAGGAATGGAGTTCCAGCTGGCTCCCAAGTTGGCCACGCCCAGCACGAATCCATTAGCATAATAGGCCACACCCAACAGCAGGAACTCATTAGGATTGGCTACATTAGGGGTGTGTGGCCTAACATGCAAAGGAGTTCCTGCTACAAAAAAGGCCCTGGGTTTTGACAACAAACAAGGTAAACAGAATAACAAGCAAAAGGTGGGTGTGGCTGGATAACCACACTTCTGGTAACATGTGGGTGCGGCCTAATGTGCTAATGAGCTGTGCTGTCAGGGGTGTGGCCCAATATGCTAATGAGTTCCTGCTGGGCTTTTTCTACAAAAAGAGCCCTGCCTCTGAGGATGCCAGTCACAGCTGCTGGCGAAACGTCAGGTACTACAATGCCAAGACCACGGCCATACAGCCCGGAAAATCTACAACAACTAAAGCAGGGAACAATTGGACAGTATTGTGCAGAAGCAGAAAAAAAGCAAACAGACAAAAGCAAAACCCACTGCAGTCAGGGGATGAACAGATGCAGGGGCTAAACTTCAGTGCAGAAGCAACCACAATGTGTTGAACAGCAGATATGCTTGCATTGGAAAGTGTTAACATTACCGTTCAGCCCCATGAATACGAGATGGGAATGTAGCAGATAGTGCTACCAATGGAGGACTGGCCTTTAGAAGTCTGGATTTTTGCCCTTTAGTCTGCATTCTTTTGCAAACAAATCTTGCTAAGTCATTTTAAGAAACTTTCTCTCCCCCCCCACCTAAATTCCAGCCACTAATTCACACATCCCTGTGGATTACTCAGTTTTTGAGGAATGGCAGTTGAATGTGTGAATGGGGTCTGTGGAGAACCATGGAAAAGCTTCATGTCTTCAGATGAGGGGATACACAAGTTTTGCCTGCAGTGTCTGATCTGAGATGGCTCACTCACAAATACACAACACCCGGACGTGGACTGCATGTGAACCACCTGGGGATATTTAGGGGGTGTTTGTTATAATAGATATTTCAGCAACTCCAAAAATGGAGGAAAACATCAAAATTTTCACACCCTGAAGAAATTTAAAAAAAAAAAACTGTTGAAGAAAATCTTACTATCAATTCTAATCTGGTTTACTGATTGTTCTACTATGAGACATGTTGAAAAACATTATGTCGTATAAATATAAATATGCCTGAGAAATGTACAAACTATGAACAAAAAAGGGAAGCAAACTTAACCCTGAAAACTAGGATCAAGACCCTAAAAAGGTAAGTCAAACTGAGTGAAGGGCCAACAATTAAAACTTAATTGTTATGGAATTTTTATGAAAAAATGCTATGAAAATAATTTAAAAGAAAACTGTTATAAGATGATGTATAGATGGTATATGACACCAAAAAAGATTGCAAATATAAATAGTAATATGTCAAACAAATGTTGGAAATGTAAAAAAATGGAAGGCTCCTTTTATC